GCTTTGAGATAAGCCTAGGGTCGAGAAGCTGCAATCAATTACTGTGGTTAAATATTGCAATAAAAAGATTAAGGATTAGGGCCGAGAGAGTGAGGAGGTTCGAGACAGCGTACAGAGCCTGTATAAATGTGAGAGACTTTTTGATGTCTTAATCTTTAGTTTTATTCTGAGAAGTTTAATCCGGTCACACGGTCTCATAACTTCCCACTTGTCTCATTGCTCACCCTGCCTCTTAAACATTGTTTCTCCATGTCACCACCTTCTTCCTGGAAAATTAAAGCCTAAACCTGACAACAATCCTCTTCAACCCAACATTTTTCCAGAACCTCACAATAATATCTATTTAATGTTTTTATTGGTGTGCTTTCACTTCTACTATCTGGATGCTTTTAGTGGATTAACATTATTAACGTTTTTGTTTTAATTCCCGGTTGAATATTTCTAATGTCAACAAAAACATAAAAAGAAATTCAATCACCAATATTTTTCACACAGTCCTTCTCATTTTGAAGAATTAAAGTCATACATGAACATAAATCTGTTTTATTTAATTCAATTGAAATTGTTTAACCCCATTCATACCCTAGATTTAGTAAAACTGTTTTCTTTTATTTAAATTGTTTTTTTTACTGTAAACCAAAGCTTCTACCTTTTTCCTGACCCCTTTGGCCTTCCTGATGGCAATGTCTGGTCTATTTTTTGGAACACAAAAATTGTGATTTTTTTTTTCCTGAATTACCTATTCAGAAGAATTTTATATTTCGGTTCAATTGACAGATCTTTTGTTAGAGCTAGGTTCCAAGGTCTGAAAGCCGTTGTGGGAATCACATGAAAATAATTTTAAAAGATTTTATCAAAGTTGTTTGAGCTATGCTTTACAAAGCCCACTTATTCAGCTGTCAAATAAAAATATTTTGGGTTGAATAGACACCCTTTAAGAGCTGTTAGCATTATTATCTTTCTGCCAGAGGTGTTTGCGGTTGAGGCTGGGAAATGCACTTTAAATAATGGTTTGCAACTTGGTTTTTCTATTAAATGTGAGTTTGTGAATAGATGTCCCAACAAAATGAGCAAATACAAATTTGTGCATCCAGCAATACACACAGCAATAAACAGTGTAGACAAATGTCGGTCTCTGAGCTGAATGTTTGGGAGGTATTGAGTTCGCAAAGGCTCATTTTTGACTGAATACAGCTCTGGCTGCATAAAACCAACAACAATGTGCCCCTCACTTACATAACTCTATTCATAACCCCAACATTCACCCATCCAAAGGTTGTGTGACTTTTTGGCAGCCTGGAAGATAAAATAGGATTACCCCCTCCCTTTATGATGGACAAGTATCATTTCTCATGCTCTAACCTGCCTTTTCTTAGCTTGTATTATGTCAATGAGTGAAAACAAAAGGAAGCATCAGAAATTCTTAATCCCTTCAAGCTGTTTCATGTAATTTAATAAATAAGCTGCTCTACTCACGGCTCTACTCCCCTTCCCACACCACCACCCGCCACTGGGAAAGGGCTCATGCATATTTCAACACGACGTCTGCCCATTCTAAGTGGAGCTTATTGTGGCTGCATGCAGGCGCCAAATCAACCCTCTTTCCCCTCTCGGTCTCTCTTTCATTCACCCATCTGACACCCTGTTCTTGATCACTATTCAACATTGGCAAACATGGAGACAAATGCCACGAGTACAGCGACACATATCTTTGCCAAATTTTCCAACATATTTCATGCTGGAAAAATTGGCACTCCTTTCACATTCCCAAACATACGTTTCAATCAGTTCTGGAGAAAAAAAAGAAACACAACAATTCTTAAAGCCCTTAAGTGAGGTTTCTGTTCAACATGCGCAAACCTAAGGTTTACAACTTTTGAGTAAATTAGTTTTATAACTTCATTCAGGTCATTAACAAACACAGCAACAGACGTCCTGAGTAGTTTCCCCTTACGGCTAGTTTGAGCAGGCCTACTTAGGTTTTAGGAATAGCAGGCAAAGAATAATAATCAAAGGGCACCTTGGCACTAAGGCTATGTCTGACCAGTACTTATAACCGTATTTAAAGTGACTAAACATCTGCTCGCAGCTTACTTGGGTGCTGTAGATGCACTAGATGTGGATTTAGTGGGGAACGCAATCTGGGGATGACGTGGAGACCGACCACGATTAATTAACTTAAGGGCCTTAGCCTTCCCTCTGCAATCTTCACTTTAATTAAAAGTATTCCTAGACAACTGTGATGATCACACATAAGTGCACTCATAGTAAGGAATTTAAAGTCCAGGATTTTCAAGGAAATTACAAAACTTTCTCACCTACAACATCTTCCATGACCAGCACCAGAAATTAGCACGGCAAAAAACTATTCTTTTTAAATAATCAACGCAAGGTCCTCTGTTTTTCTGTCTCTCCATTATCTGGAAAACCAAATAAAAATTTTTGTAGGTATATGGCTGAAGATCCCTGATTGTGAGAATGTCCAGTGGAAGGGTGATGTCACCCAAATGTACTGTTTGAGGTACAGGTGCCTGCTTATACTCCAAAAACACTGAAAGTAGGTGGTCTGCGTCAAGATCCACTCCTACTAACAAAATCATTATCTGCAGCTGCAGTGGATGTGTCGCATACCTCACATAGTCAATTAGGGTGCTTTAAACCCTAGAGCAACCCCTGCTTTAATTTGTATTCAGTTGACGGCTATCATGATCTCAGGGGTCAGTAACGAATAAATGTTCAAAGATCCACTTAGAGACCAGACAAAACAGGCTCATTGTGTAAAGCTAGGACTTGAGAAATAGTCATACCATTTAGATATTGAGATCATTTTAGGGGGAACATGAACGTCACCTGATCAACAACTGATCATACAGTGAATGTTGGTAAAATTCTTACAGACCACCTTCTTTCTCAACGTCACCACTAGCGTCATGGGATGTATGTAATCTGTGTGCCTGGCAAACTCAATATCAGGTAATCATTTTGGAGAAGTTATCAGATATGAAATGGTTTTCAGACGAACGTCGAGTGGGACTGACTGGCAGCAGTTTATGTCCAGAACTACAACGACTACATGTCTGTGATATGTAGCTACAAGATGTTCGGCGGTATCAGGCTGATACTGGACTGTGTCTAATATGGTGGAGATTGACTTACTCCTGCAGGCTCCCAGGTGGTGAAGGGGGATTTAAACTATTTTACCTCCCCAGATCTTCACACCTTCCCTCAGGCCCTCTCACCTTGATGGCTTAAATATTAATGGTAAGTCAGAGGACAGGGTTTGAGTGAGGGGAGAGGACTGACAGCTTAATCACGGAGGCAGTAGCCTCCCTCTCTCTTTTTCTTTAAAGCTGGTGGTGGCTGTCACCACGACCTACATGATGTAATCGCATCTATAACCCTTATATGGGCCACAGAGGACCACGTGGGGGGGGGGTATGAAGATGTAGAGAATTTTAGTGTTTCAGTGAATGGGTTACAAAGCTGTTATTTTCCATTCATTTCACAAATAATAATTCTATCATTTCATAAATCCTTAAATATGTGCAGCAAAAAATGATTAAATATCTGATTAATCATCAGTTATAAACTTCTGTAAACATGCAAAAAAGGTAGCTTGACTGAACAGATGGTTCTTTGCTGGATGTCTTAAAAACTTTCTAATCTTGTTAGATGTGCAAAATAAGCGTTATCAATTAAATACGTCCTCATTTGTACATGTGGCCGATAGAAAGCTAGCTAAAAAAACACAAATGTGTTTCTCTAATAGTTGTTTCCTTCATCTGAATATCTGTCATTGTAGAAAAACAGCTTATCATAGAGAAATGTTTACTAAAAAATCTCCAGATAAATTGAGTAAAGGGAGATGTTTCTTAACTCTTTGGAGACAAAAGTTTTACTGAAAGTATGACGACTGCTTTTGGCATGCCTCTTTATTCAATTCACCCTAAAATAAAACAAAAAAGATGATGAGAAATGCTTTCAATTTATAAAAATGGAAAGTCCAACAAAGAAGGACTGAGCAGTATCAGAGGGGAAAGAAAACAGCAGCATCTGCTCTGCCTCTTTCCTGTAACAAGGTCCCATTGTGAGCTGGGTTGCACTTTCGATAATGGGTATGGGAAGAGACAAGATGTGAACAAGGAAGTATAAGTTTGGTAATTCTACCTTTAATGCTTACTGCAGAAGAAGACATTTTCTATAAGTCTTTTGGGTATTCTGACAATACAGACATGATGCTCTGGATGCATCAAGGCTTTTGATCTGGGCATGTCACACATTGTTGTCAGCACATCTATATTTAATGATGCCAGCGAACTTTCTGTTTGACGCTCGTTATTGTTTCCAAAGTTCGGATTTAAAAACATGGAGACAGATGCATTTACATCCAAAACACAATGGTGAATGTCCCTTTTGGGTAAACCTTAGAGAGAAAACAGCACAGAGCGTGCAGGTACTTTCTTCCCTAGTTTGTGCAAGGAAAGAAGAGCTCCAATGACATCCTAAACATTGTGTTTTGCATATAGAATGATGTATCTTTGCATATTTACTCCTTAAGATGAAGACAGCATAGGCAGATGAAGTAGATTAAGTAACGGACAAATAAAATTGCACTCCTAGTATCTGATCAGTGTATAATAAAAAAACACAATACATATTACAGTTGAATGGCAAATTGTTTTCTAGGTCTGAGCTAGCATTTAAGGAGTCAATGGAAAGTGAGACAAATGTGACAAGAATTCTTTGGGGGAGACTGAACAACAAATGGAAAACTTCCTCAGAGACTGTGCCTCATTATCAGTTTCCACATTACTGTATTTCCCTTGTGGAGCGAAGAATCTGTCTGAAAGCCACTATGTGGACTTGAAACAGAGCATAGCTGTTGTCTCTGACCTATTATCATCGATATGATTGATCTCATTGATCCTGCCGTTGCCACGCATTTGGAAGAAGATGCACTGTGTGGTTAGACTAAACACAAACAGAAGTGTTTTTCTTACCCCGTTTATAGGATACGTCTTCCATCCCAGCTCTCCAAGCACAGAGGTTGTGTCCAGCAACACAACTGAAAGGAAAGAAAAAAAGGTGAGATAAAACTGCTGGCAATCCGACATCACACGGAAATTCCTATTTTCACACGGAAATGGAAGTATCAGTAAGAAACACGTTCACCTGGATATTAGCCGAAATGAGTTTCAAGAATGAATATTTATGAGTGCAGTGGTATGTTGGAAGGAAGTAGTATTTTTGTCCCATGCAACACAATGTGGGGACAGATGGATTGAAGTCAGATTGCTGTCAAAAGTCCATTCTCTCCCATCTGCTGAGGCAAGAATGGGCATGTGTGCTACATATGACTGAAACATTTCTCATAATATGACAAAACTTATAATATAATCATGAATGTAGCTGTTTTTAAATCTTGACGAGCTGAGGAAATATCAATCTCACTAGAGTCAGATATTTTTTCCATTTTTCCATTCCCATTGTGTAATTGTTGCATGGACGATGAAAACTTTGTAAGAACCTTTTGAGTAGAGCTAACAAAAATGTAGTCTCAGTGTGGAAAATATCGCCAACCTTGTCAGTGTTTTCTCTCCCTCTCAAGGACATCAGATTTAATAATTCAAGAGGAAAGCATTTCACCCAGAGACAAGTGATTTACGGTGGAAATACGATTTCGGAAATAATCCCCCGTAAACAGTTAGAAAAAAGTTTTTACCTTCACTCGTGAGAACGCTAGGGAATAGACAGAAACCCAAATGCCTTTTTTGCATTTCATTAATATTAGATGGGGATCCTCCAGTCACCTTGTCAATGAGCCAAGTATGAAGATTGTGTGACAGTAAAGTTATAGTATGTCTTTAAGGTGCACTCTATTGAAAGGTAGGCATGGGAAAACAATATGTTTCTGGAAGGTGAGTTAATGCCATCAGGGGCAAATTATCTTAAATGCGCTATCATGAATAACACTGATTTCGTACGAAGCAGAGCACATTTTCTGCTTGGATAATAACTGGACCTTATGTATTACTCAGTCATGAGTGTCCATTTACGTCTTTCTTAGTGATCCTTGGGGAGCTCATTATGCCGACAAACTCTTTATCAGAGATGCATTTCCCAAATAAATCTGCACTAATATCATTACTGTGTGATCCCTGCTTATTACAACGCAATGCACATCAAAAGAAGCAGTAGCGGGGTGTAATACTATGATTATTGTAATTTGTAAATTACAGTGTCAAGGAAAAAGAAAAAGTAATGTATCTATAACTGTACTCTGGAGGACAAAATAACATTTTTCACTATCTTATCCTATGTGGCCGTAATCACTGACTCGCAGCCCTTTTTACAGGCTTGTCCTATCGGTCACACAACTGAGCTCAGTTCAGTTTCTTTGCATCTGTGAGACAACTTGAGTGGGACACAATTTCAGAGATGCACAGTAATAGTAGGAGTGCTTTGGACCCAACTACAAGGTGCATCATGGCTTCTGAGAGTAGAAAAACATAAGAAGCACCAAAGAAGCCAATTAATCCAAGCAATAAAGGAACAAAATATGACAAGAAGAAGAGGAGTTAAGAAAAAAGTACCTCATTATATAGTTTTGTTGCTCTGCATGGATGATCATAAGTAAAAAAAGTCACATAAGCTTTTGCACAAGACTAAAAAAAAAAGACCTTGGTGACTACTCATTAACCAAAAGTCTGGGGTTGCTTATTCTACTCTATTCTATTCTATATGATAGCCAATGCATATGGCCATGGTGAAAAGATGAAATAGATTGGCCAGGTCAGTCACATGACCCCAGTCACATTGCAATGCACTACTAAAAATTAAAATCAAACTATGTTTATGTTATCTGCCCAGCGTTGGTTAATAGAGTAAAAAGTTCTGGTGTGACGGAGAATGTATTCTAAAAAATATTACAGACAGGAATCTTAAACCAGGATTGCAATTGAAGTTTTCATGGTGATACAAATGTGTTAGTTTTCCCAAAGCATTCATGATAACACTACAGAAATGGTGTGATGTATTAAGATCCATCTGAATCCATTATTCTATTTACGCACTAGTTGAAAACATACAAAACACCAAACCATGAGTAAAGTAAAAACATGATCATTATATAGCGGAAAATTTAACCAGAAGCCGAGCCTTGACAAGCAACTGAGAACATTTAATGGTTCATACTGCGTTTCAGCAGTGTGAGATTAGGGGGAGAAAATGGACATTGATCCATATGAAATTGCAGAAGATTATTTTATTGATTGACTGTCCTGTCCGGCACAGCAAGGAAAGACTTCACGCTGATACTTTCATCCTCCAACCTCATCCTCTCTACAACACTAGTTTAATATTTCCTCTGTTGACTGTTTTTGGATTGGTTCCAGGATCTTTGTATGGCTTCTTTAGCCCACTGGTGCCCAGTCTGTGCCATTCGGATGCCAAATTAGAGAACTTGCAGGCACTGCTGGTGTTCATCATGGACACTAATGTGCTACTGTTAGCAGGTAAGTTGTGTAGTTCTTGGAGGATAACATAATTACCTGTGCTCGCTATACCATTTATAAAGACTCACTCATGTACAAAATACTGGGTCTACATCTCGTGTATCCACCATCTGAGCCCATTTTGAGCTTGGTTAAAAATATGTTTAATTTGTTTCATTAGTTTATTCATTCAATGATCCTTTATATATCTACTTGTCATAAATTTTGTTTTTCTTTGACTTCCGATGTGCCATTCCCATTTTCTTCTCATAACTATTACGTATATACTGGACACACTAGGTTGAGTAGTCAGTTACGACCTACAACAATTCAGTAAGTGAATTTGACTTTTTTCAATCCATTCCATTCCATTCATATTTGATTGCAAAAAAAAAAAGAAAGAAAAAGGATGTCCTGTGGGTGTAAAACAAAAGTAAAAAACAAAGCAACAAATGCTACAAAAGAATTTAATCAAATGCACTTATGCTCACAACCACTAGAGGTCCCATCTGTGACCTGGATCACGATAACCGCCGGGCCCAATATAGCAACACAACTCATGTGGATCTTATTCATTTATCAGATCTACTCTAATTGTTTATCTACTAAAACAATTACAGACGATAACCTTGCAGGATATGAAAGTTGTCAAAACTTTCACAGCCAAAAAAGGCACGCAAGTGCATAAATGTGCAGATAAGCAATTACCGTGCACCTGTTCTCGACGGTGTATATTTGGAACTGCAGGCATGTAAATATCCATCCATCTATCCTTTCTTTCTACCTGTCTCCTGCTCTCTATAGAGATATCTCTCAGCGAGGCACCCACAAACCCTGCCTGGAGCTGCAGGGTCCTCAGGGACTTCCACTGGTAAGATATAAATAGAACATGAGCTGGCTAACTCATAAATATATGGAGCTCTGGTAGAATGATGACATCTCTTGTCTGGCCCGTAGCCCTCTCAGGCCGTACAAACACCCCAAAATAGCTTTACAGTCTTAACAACAGACCTGAATGCAGTTTCTTCAAGAATTACTTCATGTAAATTTGAAGTGGGCCACTGAGAGTACTCAGAAAAACAGCGACGCCGTTTGTCGACAGGTGTGTACACCACTGCCTCTTTAAAGTAAAAGGAGGCCCCTTCAAGGGCACTTCAGATTCATATTACTTATAAATGTAGGCTATGGTGTGTTTGTGTGTGTAATGTAGTTTAGAAATCAATAAAAGACTCATTTTCAAATAGCAAAACCTTTTCATTTGGAAGCTTCCTACAATTCTCATTGTGGTGAACAGCAAACAGATATTCTTGTTAACAAAACAAACAACAGCATTTGATGAACAGGCACTCGTGAAAAATTGATTTTGGCGAGTGTTTCAGTGAGGATTGTACGTTGTCATTTAGCAGTGTAAACACTGGGCTCTCAACAGATGAGGAGATGATATGCTGGAAAATAGAAAACTATCCATAACAGACGCCTGACAGGCATGACAGGACTTCCAACACACTCTCTACACTCCACAATCCAAGACCAGGCATTCAATGACATAATAACTGTCAGCAAAGCAAATCTTTGAATGTGGCTGATTAGGTCTGATTATGGCTATGTGTGTTTTCAAACATGGCATTTGTAAAGGAAATTCAGGGTTATCAGTCACTGGTCAAATTACCAATCCCACAATTCTTTTTTGCTGCAATCAAAGCATTCAATGAACCGGATGTTCATGTTGTCTGTTTTTAAATCAAATAATGAGTTATTATCCCAGTCTAATGCTGATTATGATCCATACTTGTAGTTTTAAAAAATGCTTGATTTTAGTTTGACAAACATATTACTGCAGTGCAGATGATTTCCTTTAGTAATTAAATGCAAACTAAATGAATAAAAAAAATACACTGCTAAGAGTGTAAAAAGGTGGTAAAAAATGTATTTCAGTTGTTACATTTTGAAATCCAACTAAATGGAAAACTTTGAGATTACTCCCAATACCCCCTTCATACTGGTCGGTGTGAAGACAAGGTTGAGTAAGAGAGGGTTTTCTAATCAAGGTGTTTGTGTGAATTTCATAAAGGATAATGCATTCATATTTACATTATTCAGATGTTACAGCACGAGGCCCAACTAATGACCCATGCTGACATCATGGCCCTCTATGCCACTGAAATGCTCCGATCCATTTGCCCCCATCATAAATCTCGCCTTAAGTCATATTCCACCAAACCCTGGGCACTGCTCGTGTTTTATCCTCAACCCCATGAGTGTGTTTTATTTTTACCTGCGTCTAACCTATCGCTGACTGTCTTTGATGGAGCCAAGGGCAAGCATTAGAAAGAAGCAGCATGCAATGTTGCCATCGGGATCATGATGACGGAATAAAGTTTGAAACAGGACGACTTTGAGTAATTCAATTAATGCTTATTACAAATATTACCTTAATTATCGACATTTAAAATCCTGTTTAAATTGCGGTGTTTTAATCAGGGTAAGATCTGAGTAAGTTTAACATGATAATATTGCTGTTCGTCATGTAAAATTACTAGTGAGTGAGAACCTGCTATTCCATAGCAGCAATTTAAGAAATACGCCTTGGACTCTACTGAGCTCTGTAAATAAAATGTAATTTGACCACAGAGAATACAGAGGGAGTCTGAAGTCTGGAGATGACCAGCAGCCATGCCTGGAAGGTGTGAGAGATGGTCTCACAGCGATAAGTACATCATTGAGGGGATATGAACATTAAAGAAAAAAAAAACAAGAGCAAACTTTACAGAACTTTTCTCAGTTATGTTATAGATACCGCACATTTCTCTTACTTTCCCAAGATGCTCAGCATAGTAGAGTATACAGGGGCGACATGGTGTTATAACAGATCTGCAGAGTGTTGTTTTTGTTAATTTACATGAACAACACATGCACAAAGTGAAATGTGCCCAGTTAACATTTTGTGGCCGCACATGATTTGCCGGTTGATCGATTTTCCTCGACACCACATTACGGGCGAAGATCTCCTCCCTCATCAGATGACGGCAATCTCTATTTTGCAAGGGCAAAAAAAAAAAAGCTTTGATCAGCCATCCTCACAAATCAATGCGGAGCTGAACAATTATTTGCAGGTTATTTTCACGGCTCGATCAATGTGCATCTGGAGTATGGCGAGCTTAAACAGTTAAGTAGCTAAACCTACAGACTGCTGGTGTGTTTTGCTGAGTGGCTTCAGACTTACAGAAATCCAGCTCAGCTTGAGGGAAAAACATGTGACCAGAGAGAAAAACAAAAACAAAAACTTTCAAATGACTCATTTATTCTCTAAACTTTGGGCGCTCTCCCGATTTTTTGCCTAAATTTTAGTCAGAAATACAAGTCTGATCTGTGTCTTAAGTGTGGGATCAACCTACAGGTGTCACATTCCCTCCAAGGCTGAATATATTAGCTTTTAAAATAGATTTGTGAGTGCTCATTGCAATAGGGGGCCGCACCTGCTGGATAAACCTGACAAGACAAATGGGTGAGAATCCTATAAAAGCCAAAGCCACGAGGGGAGATCAACTGATGAGAAGTGCTTTGTGAAACACACCAATGAGCGAGCCGAGCTTTGTTAATAACTGCCTGCGGTCCCACTTGTGTTCATTTGAGGATGCATTGTCTTGTAAAGAGGCACAAAGGCAAATGCAAAATGTGACTGTTTTTTTTATTGTTCTCCTAAAAGCTGACAGTGAGACCATTTGGTGTGTGAAATCCCCAATCTCTGGAGTTCTGTTTGTCTTTGGTGATAAGCTGTGATCAGACGCACTGATCTGCACTGCCGTGTAATGGGCTTTGGTTTTGTCCTCATCCTACAGAGGGAGCACAGTCTCTAATGTAACTGACCAGGGACTGCATGTGTTTAGTCTTCTCCTTCTTAAATTTTGGGGCGACCAAATTTTAGAACCAGGTGTTAAGGTTTATACAACTGAGGAGAAAGATTAAATAATAATGCAAATTAACCACTGGATTGTTCATAAAAAATCAAGCCTGATGGGATGAATCATGAGTCAAACAGCATGTCTGTGTTACATAAACCCATCTCATAATATTTCACTTGTGTCTTGTGTTTGAAGAAGAATCTTTGTGATCTGAGTTCAAGTATTTCCAATCTGAGCTCTATGGCACTCTGATAGACAGTGCCTGTGAAAGTGGCAGTGGAGGTCCCAGACCAGTCAATATGAAAGACCAAAGTACAGTTGAAAGCAGACATCAGCTCAATCATTCAATCCGTGGCGAAGAAAAACACACCGTGAGGCTGTTATGTAGCAGCTGTCGAGGAGAGCAGGGAGTAGCATCACTCTTATTGAACAGAGAGAACAATAAAATATAACCTGGGGGGCAGATCCCACTGTGCTCCCCTGCACAATCAATAGGACTATTTTAAACCTCACCGATGCGGCTGCCGTGCGTGTTTATGTGCTCGCCCTGAAGAACACACACATAACCAAGCGTGCGACCACACATATGTCCATTCGCTGGACGATGTACAAACTACGAATGGACAGTGAGATGTTGCCAACTAAAGAAAGAAGCGTACGTGGGTTGTTTAGCGGTGTACAAATCTACTTACTGTTTCACACTTTCTTTTATAGTTGCAAAATTCACATGCAGCCTCACATACACTCAGTTTCAGTGCATGAATTAACAGCTCATGATATTTATCTGGATGTGCCGAAAATCTACTGTAACATACACAGCAGAAAACAGACACTCAAGTCAACTTTGTCACTCTGACAGATGCGCACAGTCTTGCTCTGTCACCTACCTAATGGTTCAATCTTTTCACTGTCTTTTGTGTCCTGACTGAATAATGCACACTGTTTAACTATAGATCAGCCACAGAGGGTGATTGCATCTGAAATCCCTTAAGTTTTCATTTCCCTTTTTTTAATTAACTTCTTTCCTTTTTTACTGTCTGATTTAATTTCGTTTAACTTTACATGGATTGGCCATATATACCTAAATCTGCATTACATGCAAATGGGAGACCATCAAAAATAAGTAGAATGTAGTAGAATAATCTGCAAAGTGTGGTTTGTCATCTTAAGTTTTCATTACATCTTTATCTATTTCTCATTTAAAATACTATATCTCCACATTAGAAACTGCAAAGAATATAATGTTCGTCTTTTGTTTATCCAACTTCTCTCTCTCAGAGGACACCCAGTGCGGGACACTTCGTGATTGCTGCAAACGCCGGGATTTTTAAGCTAAACTCTTTCCAGACATAGTCATTTTCTTCTGAACAGCAGATGCCTTAAAATGTTTTTATTGTAAGTTACCCTTACATTTCGGCTCAGCATTTTCTGTCAGACACGAGGGGATCGCTCTTTTTCGCGGGTCTTACCTTGATTGCAATGGCCGAGGGGACTGAGGGAAATTCCAAGAAAGAGTAAAACGAGGAACAATCTTTTCCCAAAACTCATGTCTGCTGCGACATTCATCGGCGGCTCAGTGCTCTGTCGGGAGGCGTGCTTGGAGATAAACGCGGGGGGGGGGGGGGGTCCCTCCAGAGCGCAGATCCACTGGTCTCGGTCCTTAGAGTTGATCCCGCATGCAGCGAGTGGCCCGGGAACGGCACAAGACACAACGCCTCATCCTTCAAACGGAGCTCCTCCGGCGCGAGAGGAGAGAGAGAGAGAGAGAGCTGTCAAATAAAAAGTCGCGCAAATCTCTTAAAGTCAAATCAAATTTCCGGACAGACACTCGGCTAGTCACAAGTTTGCTGGTTTCACACGGACTTTCGGACGTCCAAAAAAAAAATACTGCGAAACGCAGAACCCGGTGCGTCTCCGTTGCGCGCGTAATCGTGACAGACTTTAGAATGCGTGCGCTTGGCACGGGGATGTGGCGCGGAGTGCCACCTCCAGCTCGGTGCGCAGCAGCAGCAGCAGCAGCCTCGATGGGAACGGCGAGCAGAGAAAAAAAATGATCGGGATTGCAGCGGAACAGCAGCCGAAGAGAGGTTACTGCTGGGGGGGATTGTGCGCATCTGTGCACTAGAGGGGGTTAGCTGACAAGGCAAAGGCGCTTGTGCGTGTGTGTGTGTCTGGGTGTGTGCATGTTTGTGTGTTAAGTGTCTGTTTTGTCTGCCGGGCCCAATGCAGGACTTCCCAAAATGTCTCTGCAACACGGGCTTGAAAACAATTAGCTATTTTTTGTCCTAAGTGAAATTGACTAAAACACATCAGGGAGATCAAATTTCTCATGAGATTTTACCTATAAGCTACTTTTGAGTTAACTTACATTTTTTGCAATGAAGAGAGAAAGACATCACAAGTCAGACAAAATGAGATTTAAGTGTAAGTCAGTGATAATGGTTTTAATCTTTTATTTGTTGACAGGGTTATAACCGGTCTCAGGCTATCTTGCAGGTTGTTCCGTAGAGCAGGAACATTAATTTAAATGTTAATAATAATCTTAATTTGTATGTTCAGCTGCCCAGCTATGGAGTTCCTTGCAAATCAATTACAAATTACATATCTTAGCATGTTGGGATTCACTTAAAGAAGTTATGATTAAGAAAGAAAATAGGTCTATAAATATGATCACTGTACTCCACATAAATCAAACCAAATAAAGTCAAAATTTTGGAAATGTATAAAGAGAATGAAAATGTTTAAGCTCATATTCTCAGTGTACCCATTTCCCATCTTTGGCAGATTTAGTATAGGAAGGCTTGTATAAAGACTTTTAAAATCTTTGTATGGTGTGTTTTCAGCTTTCTGCCAAGCACACCGTATTGAAGTGAAACAATCCTGCACAGATATTTCACCACACCAGACTTAACTCACAAGACATGTAGTTTCATGCACAGCATTTGTAAAACAGCGGTGAGATGCTCCGCTTGCCAAGTCACCAATGTCAGCCAAGATTAGGGAAGGTCTTCTTCTCATCTTCATGGACACTTCATCGAGTGAGTAAGCAAACCCTCCCCAACTTGACCCGGTTAAACAAAGCAAAGCTGGCTGCTGTGATGAGACCCAGTCAATCAGGATGTAGGAGCAGCTTCCTGTCAGCACAGCGGAGGTAAATACATCAACATCACAATCCGTCACCACCACTTAGCTTCCAGCCAATCACCAAACAATGCTGAGAAGCTGCCAACAGACTTTGTGTGGCGAGACGTACAAACACATTGGAGGACAGAAGGGTTGTAGAGAAGAACGTATTGACCACAGTGGCCCGTTCGTGTAGCTTGAGGGAGGCTGCATGCGCCGTAGAGATAGATCAAGCCATTACAGTCAGGGTACAGATGCAGAACAGCTATAAAAAGATGGGTAAATGTTATGAGGACGCTCCCAGGGAAAGAAGGGAGCTGTACAAAATTAAAGCTGGTGGTCACGCGATTTGAATTGTAGATCTGTAATTAACAGAAAAACAGATTTCATTTTATTTTCGTCATAATTTCGCACTGAAACGGCCGGCTACAAAATGTCAACAGCGCAAATGCTTATTTTGTTTGGCTGTGATGCTTTACAGTTGCTGCATCGTTTGGAAGAGGTTCCTAAATCATGTGCAAACGCACAAACTTATTCATCTTTAGGCACTCCACTGCTGCCAGTATGATTACATGTTTATTTTGGGCTGCATCTGCTCCTGTTATTGCTTTAATTCTGCTAAAAATTGGGGGGGAAGCCTCCAGCTAATACGTTAAGTTATTTTCCATCTTTTTAAAGAGTGGCGCTGGCAATGACGCAAAATGATGATATAAGAGGTTGAGAACAGGTCCTACACCCCGCCACCCCGTCTGCAATGATTTGGTTTCCTTTGCTGTAATAGTGGTCAATGAGGTGTGACTGTAGTGTATTGGGGGCCTAACTGTGAGCTATGATTTCCTCTGTGTGGGGAGAACAAGCTTTGTCCATCTGTACTCATCACAGGCAAAGAGCTGGAACAAGACCGCATCAGCAAAACTGACAGAGACAATGAGACTTTATAACACTAATAGGTTCACTATTGTTCTGTTAACGATGAAGTTCCTGGCCACACAGAGTGACCTACTGAGTAAAAGAAATAATAAAATGGAAATGAGACACCCTCATTTGTTGATGTTATATGCACAATTTTAACAGCATTAATGTATGCAGTGTTTCTGAGATTCAGAACAAAAATATTTACTTCAAAACAATTTCGAATAATGACTAATTAATTAATCATATGCCTCGTAAGTCAAAATGTCCATTCTGCCCCCTTGGAAGTACTTATTACACTTATTCTGACTGAGCATCCACATGCCTTCATTGTAATATTTATGGTTTTACAGAAATTGAATGAGTATTTTGTTACATAACTATGACCAAAGCTTCCCCAGTTTTCCAAATTTGGTAACTGTGTAGTTTTAATTAACTGGTTCTATTATAATAAAACATATCAAATTCACTTTTAACACTCAGTTACAGATTTAGCTGAAGTAGCCACAGCACTGAGGAACTGAGGAGTTGCCTGCACAGTTTACCTAGAGGATTCTTTCTGGATTCTTTTTAATTAAAAAAAAAAAAAAAGTCTTGCCTCTACTGGTGACTGGAGGGAAACACTCACGTAAGCATTCCCACAATGGAGCAGAAGTAATTCGGAAGCCTTTAATTGAAAAAGTCATCAAGGAGATTGAGGGGCGATGAATGGCACAGGAGCAGGGAGCACCGTTAACCACACACCTTTAAGATCAACACCAACTCCTGACAGCTCTTACTGAGGCATGTTGGTCACTTTATGGTTGCATTTAGTTTGTAACATTTTTCCACAGTCGTGATCACATGTGATCTCAAAATTTCCCGAACATGCACACCCAAAGAAACCCAGACCTGAATCCTGATGTTATGTTGAACGCTTTCTGGTCAAAACTGGTCCTTGTACTTAAATATGATATATATATTTCTGTATAAAGCCATCAGTATGTTTTGGGGAGTAGGACAGATTCTACTTTCTGTTGGCTACACCTGCTATTTTATTCGTTACAAATATATTTGTTTTTCTGTCTGTATGTGGCCTCTCATTATGGTAAAAGTTAGCAAGGATCAAAATTCAGCACATTAACTCACATTCGGTTGAGACATAAAACATTGTTGGAAAACAGCAGCTCTTCTGGGTTTGCATACCAAAGATTAACCCCCGAACTGTGTGTTATTTATCCATCACAGCTTTTTAAAAGAAACAAACCATATTCAGCCAGTGTAACATTTTAACAATGTCCCAATTCTGCTACATGGCTCACTCACCGCAGCACTTATCCTCTCACAACCTCTCTACTGACAATTTGTATCATTTATAGACAATCATAAAAGTATGGTTGCACATCTTAGTTATCTAAAATATATTTACTTAATACTTACAGACCCAGTCACAGTATTGGACACATTTTTCCATATTTTTCAATGAGAAGATGTGTCAAAACTTTTGATTGGTAGTGTAACATAAGCTCTTAAGAAACTAAATAAGTTTTCCTGTTCTTTATTACTGACCATGACCCTCTGACCCTCAGTTATCAATTTGACAACTTTTGCTCAAGGTGAGGAATATTGGATGTTCAGGTTACACAACATGAAAAGATGACAGAGTGAGACAATTGCTCACCAATCTGTAATTACAGTATGCTTCAAAATTGAATGCAGCTATTGTGCCCGTTTCTATATCAAAAATAAAAATGAATAAAAAAGATATGTTAATGGATACAGACTTTTTTTTTTTATCTTACGAGACTTTGTTTTGCATTAATTACAATTAAGTTACAGTAAGTGCCTTTTCTGCTATATTTTCCCCCAAATTTGTTTAGTAATACCTAAGTTATATGCAGTTTAATCAGACTTTAAACATGATATGTGTCTGCAAGTAAAGTATATTTGTTGTTGGAGCACTTGCACTACATTGTCCAAATGATAAAAGAAAGACAGCACAATCCCAACAGACAATTTTCATCTTCCAGAATGACTATTTTACAACATCATAAGAGTCTATACACAGATAGGACCACACACCTAGACACACTTGTGCTACAACAATGACGTTGTCCACCTCCCTGGCTACCTAATGAGCCGTAGGCCCTAATCTGGATGGCCGATGTGCTCAGAGCGAATGAGACGAGCAAATAGAGAGCAGCCCACAAAGCCAGTGTGTCACTAACCCCAGCTGTTAGAAAGATATCCACACATAATTCAGAGATGAGAGAAGGAAATGGGATGACTTTGCAAGATGGAATAATTTTCCACAGATAGTAGAAACTGTAATTTCTCATAAAACCCCTATCGGACCAACCCCCTTAATGTTGCCACAGAAAGAAAGTACATTGAGGCTACGGTTCATATCT